TATTCGCCAACAAGCCTCGATCCTATCATTGGCAACCCTAGAGCCCTGATGGCCGCTGGGCTGTCATAGCAGATATTTACTTCCCTATTCCGTAATAAAATGATGAGCTGCAAGTCGACTGCCTCCCTAATAGCTGCCACCTCTGACTGAAAAATGCAACAAAATCCGGCAGCCTGAATATAAGATTTTCCTTGAGTTTCCTGCAGAATAGAGCTTCACCAATGGACCTCCATTCTACAGGCTGTCATTATCCTACTCACAACTTGGAGGGATGTATGTAGAGAAGGAACCGGTCGTTCCCGGACCGTTCCGATCAATCTCCTCCGACAAGAAGTCGAAGTTTTTAGGAATTTCCGAGTGCTCGTACTCCGGGTAAAAGAAGAAACCATAGCTTCTTAGCCAATTGGCGTAGTGAATTGCGGCAACTTTTTCCACAATATCAATGAGGGGTGCGGAGCGTACTTGACCCTGCCAGAGAACATGAATGAAATGCCAGCTATCGAAGGAAGCTGTGTATTAGGTACTTTATATCTCCTAGTAAATTAGTACGAGCTCCGTCTCTCCAGGATTAAAAGCACAATCTTTCTTTATTAACAATTTCCGTATCCGAAATAACCAATCATTTTTCACTGGACTGTGCTAAAAGTTCTTTCTTTAACATTTCATCTCACGCAATTTATGAAAATTATACTTTTCACCATCACACCAGTAGATTTCCAAATTAAATCTGACTCGTTTCTTTTGTCTACTCATTTAAACATTAAATACATTCTCTACAGGTGTACACACAATTCAAGCAGCTCTTTGAACAATGGACTTTAACCGAATTTGAGGCACCCCAGTTGGATGCCCAGCAGCCAAGCAACAGCAACAGCAACAGCAACAGCAAATGGTCGCACTTCAAACGACAGTTACGTAACTTTTTCGAGCAAATACATGCTTTGGAGCAGAAATTGGCAACGATATTCGTGCAGGCGTACAAAGACTGCCAAAACTGGGAGCAATTAACAAAGGTGTGCCTGGCTTTAATATTCGTAACCTTTCTCTTATCTACCAATTTCCTCCAAATAACTACTACATGCAATGTACTTACATATGTATGTATGTATGTATGTATATATGTTTATTTAAACTACAGCTAACTGTAATGCTTGGCAGTGGCATACTCGAACGTCGCACTATTCTACCGGAGCTACGTGTCATTGATTCGCATCTACTTCATATCTATAGCGAGGAGCTACACCAGTTGGAAAGCTCGGTACTTGAAACGCTGCTGGAATTCGAATATCGCGGTGTATCTGCAGTACCTATACAACAGGGATTCCCGCCCACTGCCGGTGCTCTAATGTGGCTGGAACAGCATATGCAACGCATAGACACGTTGGCATCTCGTGAAGTGCATCAGTTCATGAAGAAAATGTAAGTTAGCGTTAGCATTGAGGAGAGAGTGCATCTATACGCACCACGTATGTCTGTATGTATGTATGTATGTATGTATTTATGCTCAATGAGTAGTCATCATGAAACCGATGCAATCGATTGGAATTTGCACTTATTCGCACCAACTGAGTTGGCAAGTAGTACTTGCTTGGCAGTGTGAATTTCCTTTAGAATTTGCAGCAATACGCTTAAATAGTATGCACTATCTGCATTCGAAAGGTTATAAAGGTAAATTGCGTAGACTTTAACAATGAGCGGCAGTTAAATAGCACAGACAATTTTATGTGATTATGTAGGTACATGTGTACCCAGCTAGCACATTTGCCAAACAATTGCTGATATCAGACAAGTCGGAATAAAAAATTGACTATTTAGACAAGTCTTACAGTACTTTGAAAATTAGTTGGAACGTTGGTACGTTGATTTTGATTTTAATATTAACAATATTAATTATTTCCATATACCTTTTTGATTTTCTATATTCTGTCGTTATGTATCAACTGAAAATGCAGTAATTTAAACGAGAGTATCATTACAGTTATAGCGTCAATACGCAAAAGTTGTCGCAAAGATACTTACAAAAATTCTCTGCATTTGAAGTTACTCTTCTAACAATTTCCTTTTTCTGGAGTGTCTCCCTCAGATTTATAATATTCAAAGGGGAGGGACCTACGGTTTTACGCCAACTCCAAACGGCGATTGTATTTTTATGACAAACGGTTTCTCACTCAAACCCAGGCCCTACGGCCGCCCGTGCAAAGTTGTGTAATGATTCCAACCAGGGCACTCCATATACTCCTGCAGCTCATCAAAAGTGGCGAGAATAAGAAGCCATTGGTCGATTTTATTGAGACTTCGTACACGCGGGTTTTTGTTGATTATAAAGTCAGACTTGTAATATTCGAAATGGCGAATATACTACAAAAAAAATATTAAGTAAATTACGAACCTGAAGTCAGATTTATAGTATTCAAAATGGTGTGTTGAATATGGCGATTGGCTTTTTAAAAATTTCAATAAATTTTAATATTAAATTTTTATTTAATTTTCTATAGGGAGTTTTTGAGGTAGCTATAGCTACAAATCTGTAGTGGTCGAAAAAGTTCTAGCCGCACCATATTTTGACAAGCTTCAACATGTTATTTTCTTGTTATTTAATTTTTATTATTTTTTATAAAAATATAGTTCATTCTTTAACAAAACCCATGTAAATACAAGTTTGAAATTGTGTGCAATAATAAAAAAAAAATCATCAAACACTCATAAAAATTTCAAGCTTATTTAACCAGATTTTCTAGAAAGAATCTAAATATGATGCACCTTTGTAGCCCACCGAATTCAAGTAGAATAAAATACAAGTTTCACGTGGCTAAAAATTGCGATAATATTTAACAATTTAAACTTGTACTTTATTCTACTGGAATTCAATGGGCTACAAAACTGCATACCCAGAATCTTTCTAGGAAATCGAAATTTTTACGAAAGTTTGTTGAATTTTTTTAACCGACTTCCAAAAAAGGAGGAGGTTATCAGTTCGTCGGAATATTTTTTTTTTTATGTATGTTATTGCATAACTTTGGACCACGTCAACCGATTCCGATAATTCTGGATCTGATTTAGATCCGAGCATTGGATCATGAAAAAAAAAAATATATATATATTATATATTTATATTAGAATTGATATACATATGTGTCACAAACTTAGTTTGACAGGAGAGCTTTTTTTCTACTTTTCATAATTTTTAGAATTTTTTTATACTACGTGCAAAATTCTTTTGTATGGCACATACGATAACTTCGCCCACAAGAAAAAAAAAATGCATTGTAATACGACAAAATATTCAGTAAATTATAAGGACTTCAGCTAAAATATTTTAGCAGGTGATGCGTTCTGGGGTGCAGAACAAACTTGCATCAAAAAACCAATTTCGAAAAAGTAGCGCAAAGTGGTCGATATAATTAGAAAGTCTAGTACATTAAATCAATTTCAGCACTTTATTTCGGGTTATTTGCGCAATACCCATTTTAGTCGGCCGTTTGGAGAATTTTTCAAATTAGGTTTAAACGTCTCTGATATTAAGCTTTTTAGTACACACTTTACAACATTCTACATTCCCACATAAAAAGAATAAATCAATTACAGCTTTTAAATGGATTTCATACCAATTCCTCTTTTGATTTTATCCGCAATCAATTAATCAATTATTTTTCTTAGGCTTCACTCTGCTGACAGCGATACCGAGGGCAGCGAAGCAATTAGTAACAACACTAACAGCAACAACATCCCCATTAACACAGAATACAACGCAGGTTATTGGAGTCGAGGTGTGGCCGCAGAGGAGACCGCTAACATAGTGGACGCCTACAGACGACTAAACACACGACGCGATATTTTAACAACAAAGCTGAGCAATTTGCAGTTGAAAATCTGGCACAATTGGCAGCAGACAATAGGCAAAAGGATTGCCAAAGGACTTGACGCACGTGTGATGTCCCTCGACAGCAATGGCGATGGCAATGGCAATGGCAATGGCAACGGCAACGGCAACGGCGGCGGTGCGGGCAGCAGCAGCAATGATCATTTAGGCGGCACAAGAGCAAATTACACCTTTGGCGCAAATTTTCGAAGTGCAATCACCGCAGCGCTGACACAATCGCGGAAAGCGAACAACAACAACAACTACAGTGATTGCAGCAAACAAAGCCACAACAACAACAACAGCAACACCAAAGACGAACTAATGACGAAAAAAGCAAAAGCAAAAGCAAAATCACTGCAAATGAATTTCTCGCCGGATTTATTTGGACTTTTACAAGAGGCCAAGTATTTGCTGGCAATGCAGCTGGCAGGCAATGTGCGACGTGGCAGTAACTGCGGCATCACCGACATTAATGTCAACAATCTAACTGCGAATAATGCTGGCGGCGTCATGCCAATCACGCAGTCCCAACCAGTGTCAGATAGGCGTTTGGTGGCTGAAGCTGGAGCTGGAGCTGGAGCTGAAGCAGTTGCAGCAGCAGCAGCAGATGCATTAGTTGCTCAGCAACAACAAAGGCTATATGCTTTGGATAATATTTTACTGGACTTGTATGCCGAAAGGGATGCGTTTTGGCAACGCAAAGTGAAACTCATCAAGATCGGTGAATTTTACAATGGCATTCGCGGTCTAGCTGCTGATGAGGACTGTGAAGCTGGTATCATTGGCAGCGCTGCAGAATTGCAACTTATACGTCATGAAGTGGACGCAATCGACGAACGTGTAGAGACCGCAAGTGCTACACTCACATGGCGAACATATGGTAAGTGATATGTATGCATGTAGAGTAAGCGGACACCTTCCTAACACCTATTCTCCAACTGGATTTATGACATCGAAAACTGAAGCCGTTCGCAGAGCCGACTAAAAGCCCATTTGTTCAGTAGAATACCGCAAGTTACCAGTAACCTCCCAATTTTGACCTTATCATCATCCCAAAGCTCTGATCGCCGCTTTGAGATCATCACAAGTGCGCAACCGGTTGGCGGCCTCTTAGATGGCAGTTGGCTCTGCTTCACAGATTCTTCTTATTTGGCTCTGTAACTGAAACCTCGGTGCGCATTCGAAAGTTCCTCCCAGATAGCACCTGATATTTTGAATATGACGTCGTCCTACGAATTCATAACCAACTCTGCAACAATCCTCATTGACTGTATCCTATTTTTTTTTCAAAAATTAAAACCAAAGACACTCTTTGTGAACTGTGTGACCAATAATTGCAATTGCCCTGCATGCCAGTAATGCAACATTTCTACTTCGTCACCTTCCTCATCACTACTCAAATTATAAATTCAGCACTTCACACTCATCAACATACATACATACATACGTATGTAATTTGCTTCTCACACTCAGATACGGCTTTGATGAATGAAATCTATGAATGTTCACGACAACTCTACAATCGCCTCCAGCAAACGCAACACAACTTGTTGTCAATTGTGCAGAGCATACGCCGCTGGAGTCGTGAACCGCTTCACCAACGTAATGCCTATGGGCGTAACTTACTCGACGTGCAGCAACAACAGGAACGTTTGCGCCAACGACGCATGCAATGTGATGAAACACGACGCCTACTGAATCGCCTATTGATTATCAATTTTTGTTTGTTTTTCGACTATGACCAGCAGGGGTGTGAAGTGGAAGGGCATGATGGGCAGTGTATACAGGAGGTATGTAGAAGGTGGTATTTAAGGCGGAGTACATACATATGAAGGGGTTAGAATCAAAAAGATCTAAGTAAATCTGAAATTTTTTTTGAGATAATTAAGGTTAAAATTGATTACTTGTTGTAAATTCTGGGTAAATGCATTTGAAATGATTTTTGCCTAAATGAATGCAGGCTAATTAACTAATTCAAAGAATGATTACTCTTTTTCACCAAATAAATACTAAATTTAACTATACAAATATGAGTATAACTTGTATTTTCAAAAAATGTCACTTAGACCCTTATGATTCTAACCCCTTCATATATATGTACATACAGTGAGCGCCAAAAATATGAATACCCCAACGTTATGACGATTTTAATTATTTATTTATATTTTCCATACCAAATTTTCCTTATTTTTTTTATAAAAATATTGTTTATTCAACAGCAAAAACCAGTAGAATATATTTTTTCAATTTAATATAGAACTCGGGAGAATTCTAAAAATACTAAAATAAATTAATCAAAATTTTAAACTTTCAAATTCGAAAATTTTGAGTATGCAGTTCTGCAGTCTATTCAATTTTTGTAAAATAAATTGCAAGTTACAAGTCTCGCAAAATTACCATTGATTTTTGTGATTTTTTTTTTTGTCAAGGGTGTTGCGCATATTCTTCCATATAACGCAAGAACGAAATCTGTTTTTGCATAGAAGCAAATGCACTGACAAAAAGAAATTCTCAAAAATTAACGGTAATTTTTCTAAGAAATCGAACGGAATAGTTACAAGTTTTTATTAATTTTTTTTTTTTGTATATCTTGAATTTGCTGTTAAGTGAACTACAAGATATTCATATTTCTGACGCTTACTGTATATGCACATACTGACATATTTATATGTATGTGATGAAAATGACATTTATTTTTACAGTTTTTGCGCAAATTTCCCACAGATCAACGTCGCAGCTATAACAAGTATCTAGCCGAAGTGGAGGCATTGATTGATCGCGAAGTGCGACTAGCTATAAAAGTCAGGTGATACATTTCACTCGTATTACATATCGAATCATCTCATCAATATAAAATCGCATTCCATCATATCTGTTCATAACAAATTCATAAATCATACCATATTTCATCTGGCGCTGATCAAACGCGCCGACCGACTGATTGTAAAAAAAAACATAAATATATAGGTGATTTATCGCATGAATCGCATCACATCACATCATGTTATATCACATCATATTATCATTGAATCGCATCACATCATATCTGTGTATAATCATATCATATTACTTATATCATAATGTTTTTATTATTATTTTGCGAAATGTTTATATGTATGTTCATGTGGCACGAAATACACCGTAAACCCCTCACTACGAGTAGTTTTTATTTAATTGATTATAATGATAATGATTTTCACTAAGGGCCGATTTGTCAATGTCTTTATGAGCACTATTTTTTTAAATTATTTAAGTGTAAAATTTCAACAATTCTAGAGGACA